ATGAATGACAACATTATAAGGCTTCAAAGCAATATCATGAGGAATCATGTTTACCACATACATGTATTACCACTTCTTACACTAGGGAAACTATATGATATTTATACATGTGAATTTGGTTTATTTCACTTATGAGTATGGTCTCAAGCTGCATCCATTTATTTATAAATATCTCAAAGTGATCATTCATTATAGCTGAGTAGTACTCCGTTGTATAAAATACCACACTTTTTATCCATTCCTCAGTGGATGGACACTTAGGTTGTTTCCAAGATCTGGCTATTAACAAATTGTGCTGCTATAGAAAATCCAGTCTTTATAAAGTTCCTTTCAAAGAGTACTGAACTTGAATGCACTAGCTTAGTTCCTAAATTAGAGCTTTATGAGTAGGTAAAATTTTACATATAAAATTATATATATTTTATAACTTTATATATACTTTACATATAAAATTTATATATAAAATTATATATATATATTATTACAATGGACATATTTTAGCAATATGTGAAGAAATTCATCTGAAATAGAGTTCTAGGAATTCTCATCTCTCAGTTCCATGTGGGGCATCTCTATCTTGAACATCTATGTTTGAACCTCTTCTTTCCTTATTTGGTGGGACTCCAAAAGGTAAAAAGTTCTGGGATCTGGGAACAATCATTTCTCATTCATTAAGTGAGGAAACAGTTTTGTCAGTGAGGTTTAGGAGCTGTCACTAAATCAAAGGGCTCACTGTGATTAGTCAAAAGAATTAAGAGCTAAGCTAAGTGAAAGGAGGTATTGGAAGAAAATATACTGAAGAAGGTGAGTTCTGAATTACAGGAAAAGAATGAAATAATAAGGGAACAGAAAAATAATTTCATGCATGGAAGCAAGTTCTGTCACTTTGTTTCCTGTGAAATGAATATAAATATGATAGCAAAGATGTTCAATATATGTGCCATCATCTGGAAAGATAAATTGTTGAGTGGTTGCTATTTTAGAGCACTTTGATCAATTTTAATTTACTTATTCAGTAAATATTTATTGAATTTCTACTGTTTATTAGGTATTGTTTTAGGCACTGGAAATATAGGAGCAAATAATAATAAGTTCCTACTTTTAAGGTCTTAGACAATGAATATTAAACACAAGCAAAAGAATGCTAATTACAAATACTTATCAGTATCAAAGAAATTCATAGAATAAAGGCAGCCTTAAGAGGTAGCAGTGGACAGTACTTTAGGTAGAACAGGCAGGGAAGGTAACCCTAGTGAGTGACACCTAGTAGTGACTTGAAAGAAATACAGTGAGCCATAAAAACATGTAAAAGATAATTGCAGGCACAGAATCAAGAAACATCTTTATGGGAATTAACTTCGATGTTTCTGTGGGTCAGGTCAGGAAAAAAACTGGAAGAAATATGAATGTGTGACATGACAGTTCAGAATATGTTAAAAGATTTTGATGTTTTTCCATTTCAGTGGAATGCTGTTCATGGTAGCAGTGTAGAAATTAGATAGCTGGTTTATGAGTTAAACAGCTAAGTCTCTATTGTAAAAAGAATGGACTTTAAGTGGTAGACGTAGTTTGACCAGGTAGAAAGTTTTGCAGCAATACACGTGGGAGATGATGGGGAATAAAACAAGGGCTCAGTAAAGATGAACAAAAATTGTCAGATTTATGTCCTAATTTGAGATAGACTGGGGGATTTGTTGATGAGATTATTGAGATGTGATATAAATGAGAGGAAGGAGAATTTTAACAAACAACTGTGGAATGGTAGCACAATTATGAAAAGGAAAAAGCCTGAAGAAGTGTTTGAAGAGTTCTATGCTGGTATCAGTGAATGAATACATATGAAAACAGCTTGATTTACAAAGGAGCAGCAGGCATGGGAATGTGAGAAATGAGTAAAACTGGTCACAGAAAAGTTAGTTCTTTTATGATAAACAAGTAGGGTTTCTGCCAAAATGAAATCACATTCAAAGTGGAATCATGCTTTTAAGGCATACAACAGATTTTTACTTAGAACTACATCTTAGATGCAGTGAAAATTTAAGAGAGAACAACATAAAGAGTGTCAGGAAAAAGGTAGAGAACAGACAGTAGTAAAGCAGGTGCCTGTTGATGTGTCTGACTTACTCTCAAGAAATACCTCACTGCCTTTTCTCTTGGGCTGGCCCTGTCGGCCACATTCAAACAGCACAGTGAGCGCCCTGCCCACAGCTGACTCAAGCTGAGCCAAATGTAGTTTCATCTTGAGATCTGGAATTAAAATCGAGTGATATTTGTATCTGTTGTGAGAAAAAACTCAGGCTTGAGTTTTTACTGTAATATGCTAATGTGGGCATGTTAAGTTGACCGGTTGTCACTTTCTGAGTCTGAGAGGGAGAAAAAGTGTTGGAAGACAAGAGGAAAGCAGGTAATGAGAAAAGAAGCAAGAATGGGAGGAGAGTGCTGACCACTTACTCAGGCTGCAGAGTGGGGCTCTGCGCTTACTTCTATCCCTTACAACACCCCTCCTAACCTGTGCATTCTGTTACCTGTACTGAAAAGAAAACTAGAAGCATCCAGGACAATTATTTCGATGATTATTTCATTTTGAAATAATGTCTTATCAGGAAAATGGCATAAGGACAGGAGTGTGGAGTGTAAAGGGACCCGGCCCTCTCCTTTCTTACCGTCTATGTGGCATCAGAGCATAATGTGCTATTGTCTCAGAAAGAAAAAATCCTGCCCAATAGACAAAAGTATGTGATAGAACTAGAGAGATGAACATAGCTAATTCTAATTGGATAAAATGCAAATATACATGAACAATATGCTGACTTACAGATCAACTGCATGTTACAAGTATACATATATATTCATACTTCGTTTTCAAACTTTATTGGTATAATATATATACACACAGATAGGTAAATAAACAAAAGTACTGAATTTTCACAAACTGAACATACGGGAGCACTGTGTTGTGCATCAAGGAGCTCAGAATTGCTTTTAAACTTTGTACTGAGCCAAAGAGTTTTCATATTTGCATAGATTGACAATATTTAATTAATCTTTAAATGAATATACTGATCCTGGAGTTGCTTCTCCTTCTTGCCCGGTCTTATAGACATTGCTATGCATTATCCCACTTTAATGTTATCTAATTGCACTATCTCATTTAATCATTGCCACAACCACCATTAGGTTGAATGCCACGCCCATTTACAAGAGGGAATAGAGCCCAAGGTGTTTAGGGACATGAGCAAAAGACTGAACTCAACTGTGCTTTCCTTCCAAAGTACGCTTACTTGCTACCTGATGAATTTGGACAAAATGATGTGGGTCACTGCCAGCAAACTATTTTGAAGACACAAATGATGGTGCACTGTAAGTAATGAGATTTTCCAAGTATTTAAGATAGGCATGGGACTCCTAGGCCCTGCACTAGGAAGTGACAAATGAAAATAATGCTTGCAAGAGACGATTTTAGATTGATGTATTTAAGAATATGAATTGGAAGTGAATATCCATGTTAGCAATAATGCCAGAAACAGTCATAGCACGTTGAGGAGGAGGGTGAAGGAAGACCGACTGAAATTGGAAAGGCAGATGTAAGCAGAGAAGGGAAGGGAAAATTGAAAATAATTCCCAAGTTTGCAAGCCTAGGAAACCAGGGTGCTAAAAATCTGGAAGGAGATGGATATTTTGGGTACAGTGAGATGACAGTATGAATTCAGTGTTTAATATTCATACAATCAGGAACTGTAATATATGACAGAGAAAAATTTTATGGCATCTTCTCTATGTCCTTCACTTTCATTGAAAAAAATTTATTACCTACTGTAGCAAAATGACCAAGTATTTTCACAGGAAGGAATAGTGAAGATCGGGCTATAAAAGTCATTTACACCTGGGTTGGTGGTTTACTAATGGATCTGGTTTGGTTGCAGACTGGTAATTTCTAGCAGCTCTCTGCAAAGATCATGCTTTTCCTTTTTCACCATTGGTACATAAGTTGCTTAGTGACCTTCTTTCCTCTTTGCCCGCCTCCTTTTTTCCCTCTGTTTCTCTTTCTAGTTTTTGCTGTGAGTAAAATTTATAAAACATATGCTTGTGTCACTTTGGCTATTTCTCAAGGTTCTGAATTTTAGTTAGGTAACTTCAGTTACCTAACTAAACTAACCTAACTTTAGTTAGGTGACTCTGAATACATGTAAATCTTAATTCTGGGCGTATTTCATACATTAGTCTTTTTAACTAATTCTGAAACAAACATCTTCGCTTAGGCCCTGTCCTGTTTCTCCAGAGAATGATTTGTTTTGGCTGTATAGTCAGTAAATGAGTCACTAGCACATATTAGACACCACTAACTATATGATAAGATTTTAACCAATGTAATCACTTCTCTTTAGACAAATATTGCCTGAGGTTCAAACTATATTTGTAAATGTATGTATATTTATTTGCACTATTGCTTTATAAAACTTGCATTCTAGTGTAAATTTGTATTTTTTTCTTAACTAAAACTGCTGTTTTTTCTAATCAAATTCACTCTTTTTTTTTTTTTTCTAGTACTGGGACTTCAACTCAGGACCTTATGCTTGCTAGGTTGCACTCATTTCTTGTCTTGAAAGAAAAAACAATAATTTCTACTCATTTATCTACTCAAACTTCCTTCACTTCTCTGCTAAATTAAAACAACAGCAGCAAAAACAATAAAGAAGCTAACTGAAGAAATAGGACAAAAGAGATAAGGAACTGCTAAAGACACTAAAGTCTAACATAGTCTCTTATAATAGAATGGAAATTATCTTAACCAATTTATGGAATTATGTAGGAGGTCTACATATTTCAGAGCCTGAGTAATAAATAGACAATATATTTACTGAGGATATTTTCTATAAATACATCATGTTTTTGCCTTAAACTTTATGGTTTATCACAAATTTGCACTTGATAAGTGGTGATTCTATAAAAAGAAGAGATGGCTAGAGTTAAGCACACAATAGCTGTTATTTCTTACTTACAGCAACTGCCTCCAGGATCTGTTTAACAGCATCTGCAGCGTCTCGCTCACTGTAATACCCCTTTTCCACAATCCTGAAAGAAACATGAAATGCTTCTCAGATACATGCATTTAGTCGAGTGGATGTTAAAAGAAGTTAACTAAATTGATGCCAAAGAAGATACATCTAAACAATTGCGACAGCCTACCATAGTATCAGGGAAAGGATTTCCATAAACTGGTATCCTAAAGACCTTTGAATTTACTTAGGAAAATGGAAAACATTTATTTTGCCTTGTCTTAAACTGCGTATTCTATTTGAGGAGAAAAACATTCCTTCTTACTTAAACTTTATATTATAAGACATCTTAAACCCATGTTGCGTAGACAATATATAAGGAAACTCTCCAATGTCATTGTCATACAGCTTCAACAATTATTACATCATGACCAATCTTGTTGTATCTATGTAATTCTTTCCTATCTCATTTATAATTTTAAAGAAAATATTAGATAACCATATAGTTTGGCTCCCACATAAATGAAATATCTTAAAAGATAAAAGATTTTAAAATCAGAGTCACAACAACAAGCACACCTATAAATCACAATAGCTCCTTAATATCATCAAATGCACAATGTTTTCAATTTCTATATGTCTTGGGCATGTTAGATTTTGATTTGAATTAGTATTCTAGTAAGATCTACAAAACTGGTTACTTCTCGGAATGTGTCTTAAGTTCTCAAAGCTGTAAGTTCTCAAAGTAGCTGGAATTAAAAACTGAACTTAAAATCTATGAAAAGTATTCAGATGAGAGAATGGAGTAAAGAAAGCAGAACAGCACAAATTTAACAAAATAAAAAGATATATTATTTAAAATACCTCAATAATTACAGTTATCAAGGTTCAGGGGAAAAACTATAAAATTTCAATTATTTTCTTTCCTATTCAATTATTTAGAACACTGGTAAGAAACACACACTGGTCGTCTTTTTAAAGGATGAAAGCTATGAAAAGCTTTGAAATAAAATGAGAAAGTAGGTTATAATATTAAGAGGATGTTACTCATTGTTCTTCAAATTCATCAGATGATATTTTCTAGATTCATTATTAGATTTGATAGAAAACTTAATAACATTTAATTAAAATAATTTATTAACCTAGACTTTCTGAACATTTTAAAATTATGTATGAGACAAGGGGAAACAAAGACCATTGTGAACGTACATTGACTGCTGTGACTAATATTACCTCGCTGTGCTCTAGATGTAGGTTTTATGATACATTCATCAGTGAGCACAGATGTAACCAGCACTCTGCATTGCACCTGCACCCTCAGGAACATGGATCTTTTTAGTCTTGCCAAGACTTAGAGAGCAATTGTTACAAACATGAGGAGAAAATAATTCCCTTCGTGACTTGCAAAAACAAGTGTACATTTTCTCCAGAGTCCCTAACCAAGATTAGAGCTTCCCGCAAACTACTTTGTGGAACCCCTCCATAAGGTACTACTCAAGTCCTACTCTGCACAAATGGTACTTCCAGAGTTGAACAGAGCCAGGTTGCACAACTGTGATCCATGCCCCCAAGTTGTTGGCTAAATACATACACAGTTCTTATGCGCACGAGCTTTGCAAATGCATTATCTGCACTGTCATTGGTTTATTACGAAATCTCAAGCTTTGACTTAGATGTGGTTTGTGTATTTTCTTTTGATCATAATTTAGGGTTAATGCATGCTATGGACTGTTTTTGTGTCCCAAACTTCATGTTACAGCTGAGCCATTAATGTCCTAGCTCTTAGAAGGTGGAGCCCTTGAGAGGTGATTAGGTCATGACAGTGGGACCCTTAGAGTCCTGGAGTGTGCCTCCCACTTTGTGCCATGTGAGATAAAAACAAGAAGGCACCATCTACACACCAGAAAGCAGCACGTCACTGGATACTGAATGTGTGGGTACTTTGATCTTGTACTTTCCAGTCCAGGACTATGAGAAATTAATTCGCCTTATTTAAAAGCCACCCAGTCTAAGGCAGTTTGTTGTTACACTCCTAATGGAACAAGTCTTAATGGAACATTGTATGCATGTCTATGAACTAGCTGGATGGAGGAGTGAATTTTTTGGGGAGCTGTTTCCAGATAAAGTAAAGAGAAAAGTTGTGTGAATAAGAAGAATGGTTAATGGAACTTGCCCTGATTTCCCGTCATGTATGTTATATCAAATCAATAAAATCATTCACCTAATGAGTAGAGAGGATACATCCTAACAAATACATCCTTTTAATAATTGAATTATTAAACATTTAATTTATTTAATAAATACTGTGGAGAATCTATTACGTTCATGGCACCTAGTAATGAAGGAGACAGCTTCTTACTCGGGAGATTCTCCTAGAATCAGTAGACAACAATCAACAGAGTGTGCTACATGCTGGCACAGAGGCATTAGTAACTACCCCCAAAGATTCTGAAAAGGCATTAATGTATTCTGGAGCTATGGTGGCTGGGGAAAAGATTCCAGAAATACCTGAGACCTTAAAAAGTACATAGAAATTTCCCAGATATGGAAAGGGTGTGAAGTGAGGTTTGGAATACTAAGGGAGAGAAGCAGAGGATCAGGCAGGAGGAAGCTGTTCAAACAACAGTGAAAAAGGAAAAAGATCATTCCCAGAGAGCATGAAGATGGGGTGACGATATTCATCAATATTTCCAACTGTCTGATGTGAGTCAAGTATTTGATGGATATAAAAAAGTAAAACTTGGGCTCCGGCCCAGATGAAACCACAGATGGTGGAGAAAAAGAAGTTACAAGCAAAAGATGCAATACATGGTACACAGGGATTGTAGAGCTGAGGAGTTTGTTAATGCTGTAGTGAGAAACAGCACCTCTAGAGGCAGTTTGTGGAGCAAGGGTACCAAATGTGGAGCTTTCTTGGGACCTGTCTTGGTTTGAAATCTGCATCCCATGTATTGGCCTGCCATCACCCTTCAACTGTTTTGCATCAAGGGTGCTTCTGGTAAAAGGAGATTCATTTTTTCCTTCCCAAATTATTTATTTTTTCCTTACCAGATTATTCATTAATTATTAATCAAAGTGTCACAGGAGTAAATTAATGGAACAGAAACATTTGATTTTAAATATTGTGTAAGGTGAGGTTGATTTTTGAGTCCTTTGAGGTTGACTAGAAAGTAGAGAACTTAAATTGCAAAGGCAGGTTTATAACTTAGAATTATGATTGTAAGTGAAGATATTAGTGATCAAAGAAAGGAAAATGAATTATTGGAATTTTCATCTACGCACTTAGGTCAAAAGGCTAACAATACGTGTCTTTGGACAATGCCTTGTGGAAAGTCTCTGCCTTCTCATTAGGCTGTTTTGCAGAACCTAGCTAGAAGCATTGCACAAGGTATGTGGTCTATAACGTATCTGTGGCAATAGTATTAATTGCTAAGGGAATGGATTCAGAAAAAAATTTATGCTGTGAACATCTGAATAATTCCTTTGCTTATATTCCTTAACACAAGGAACAAAAGCCCTGGGCTTGAAAGTGATGCCCATGCTAAGTATGCTGGCAGAGGGAAACAGCCCTGCGCTTGCTTCCCAAAGGAATGAAGTAAAGGGTTATTTTTGGCCTTAGGAATGAACTTTTAAAGGTATACAGTTTTATGCATTACTGTAACATAAACCTCAGAAATAAAATCAAAGTGATTTAAATTCAGTAAGACCAGAACACTGTATTTGTTACACAAAGTGACACATAACAATTTCTTTATACAACTTACCTGGCACTTAAAGAAACTGGTAATGAAGCTGAACCATGGTTAAACAGCCAAAGGTTTATTTATATAAAATATACCAGTAATTTGGATATTTTACAGCATGAAGGTATTCAGTCAGTATAGAGTTTTTAACACTTAATAACAGGTAACTAGAGGTGGTGTTTTTGTTTTTGAGCACATTTATGGCTGGATTTCTCTTTAAGTTTAGTAAACTAATTTCCTTTTTATGCTTTGAAAAATCATATGAAAGCAAATAATATGCAGTCAGCATTTTAACATCATTTTCTAAGGGTTAGGACCACACATTTCAGTGTTGAGTCGTGGCAGTGCCAGAAGGCTCAGTGATTAAAAAAAAAAAAGGTCTCCCAGGTTTAATCCCAACACTGATGTAAAATGCTGCCTAGGGATTCCAGTCCTCATGGATGTCTGGAGATCTGGAAAGGAAACACAAGGGCAGCAGGATGCTCCCGGAGCCTCCCCGCAATCCTCTGGCCTCAACCGCCTCTCTTCCTCCAGTCACGTGCTTTTTACTTCCACAGCTTTCTGTGCTGGCCCATGCATGCCTCTTCCCCCTCGCTGGTCTGTTTTCCTTCTTATCATTTTAAAATTGTAGGATAAGAGGATACGAGTAATGCTCGTTTCTCTCCAGGATCTGCTTTAATGCATGGCTCATGTGCATCTGCCTCCATCACACTAATGGCCGCAAATTGAATTGAGCACATCTACATCCAGGCAGTTAGCACAAGCACTGCAGCCCAAGAGCTCTAATCTGATCACATCCCGAGGCTTCAGACTTCCTGGCATGGAGATCAGACTCCCTACTGCTCTGCCACTGAGCACAGCCCTCTCTCAAATCACTGTGTTGTTAGATGACTAGGTTATGTGAGAAAGACATTGGTTTGACGTAAGTATAGACTGAAGGATAAAATGTCAGAGAGTAAAAACCCTGAATAATGTGAGTTTTAAGAACCAATCGTTATGGCCACCAGTACACCATTAAGCTGTTACATATAAAACTATGTTAAAATGAATTTTGCTGTGCACCCAACGTAAATTCCTAATTCATTTATAAATTTCATTACTGATTTTCCTCACTTGGGGTGGGATAGGGGGTTTCCTGATGCTGTCAAAAAACTCTCCCTGAGAGTATTAGATTCATATATTAAACAAAGATAGTCTCAAAGGTCCACTAGCACCTGTTATATTTTAGCACTGGGGAGGGGGCTGGAAGACAGTAGGTCAGTATGGGTGCTAGTTGGAAAGTTGTAGTACAGGAGAAAACAAAGCTGAATCAAGCTGCAGACCTAGGGATGGG